AATATAGAACTATTTTGCTCAGACTCGGACACGCCAGCGTCACGTTGGGAAAGTTACGACAACCGACTTGTCTGTCTTTTTCACGATTTTCGCCTTCGACCAAATTCCCAGTTGATCAACAGCTTCAACAGAGGAGCCAACAGGAAGGTCCATCACAGCAATTGAAAATCACTTTCAGAGATACAAACTGGCGCTTCAAAAGTCTCAAGATTGTCGCGGATAAGTGAAGCACGCGAGTTATAATTTTCATCAGAAATCCGTTTCTCCGATTTACCTCAACCAAAAGTTTCGTTTAAGGGCTCGTTTTAAAGCTTTTGAAACGCTTCTCAACACTAAACCGAAAGTGAAATCGTTATTTTAGGGCAACGCGTTCACTTGCAGAAAAACACATGGTGCTATTTTTAGTAAACGCGAATTAAATATAAACAAAAGGATACTAATTTAATGCCACGCGATTAGCCCGCATTTTTAAAGCCTTTAGAAAAGGAATAATAGCTTCTCCGCCCAAAAGTCGCAAGTTTTTCCATCAACAGCCTCCTTACTCTCATCGGATAAAGGCCGAACGCGAGCGAACGGCTCTCGGAAATGCAGCTTTGAGCCCTCGTTGTAAAAATGCCAGCGGCTGCCCCCATTTCAGAAAAACACGATTAAACCGTCGTGAAGTTAGGAGAATCCTGCGGGGAAAGGTATTTCCAGCTACATCATCGATTATTTTGCTCGAGCTAACCGCAATACTTTTCTTTTAACACTGATTTGAATGAGAGCAGGGTGCTGATAGTAGAATGTAGTCACATTATAGAATCATTTGTTCCTCATAGTCTTTTCAGCCGTACGTGGTTCGTTTGCTGTAAACACCATACAGCTGTTATTTAACAAAGAATCCTCACCTAGTCAAAGTAAGCCCTTGATATCTACATATTATTTTCATATTAATGAAGAAACGATGAAGCGAAACGTATTGAACATTTCGCTTTTGTGGTCTGAGTTCAAAGCAATTTTGTTTTCATGCTCTCATTATCAAACATGGCGTCTTCAGGTCCAATTTTAAGAATCTATTTTATCCCTTAGTTTCGCATTTTGTACACGAAACATCAAACTCAGTTCTCATGAAAGGCTAAAATGCTAAAAGAGCTTTTTAGAAAGAAACATGATTACGTATGATGCACGATCCTCGCAGTAYATAGCGCTATTTAAGCAATAGCGAAAATCAGACCTGAAAAAAATCAGGCCTGTACGGGGTTCGAACCACTGACCTCTGCGATACTAGTGCAGCGCTCTTACCAATTGAGCTAATTCTCGCGTGATCCTAAATCGCTAGCGACGTCATGTGCAAGGGGTCTATAGTAATTATTTTAATGTTTTCATTGTTTCTTTGGTCACGTGAATTTTAGTTTTCGCAGTTCAGTCACGAAATTTTAAGCTTTACATTGCCTTTCGTTTCTCCTCCTTTTGTGGAGTTGATTTAAAGATTTTTTCGAGCTTAACTGTTGCGGTGGCACGGTTGTTTTGAGTCGAGTAAGTATAGGCTGAGTATTCCGCTTGTGGAGCGATCGACACCAATCAAGGACAATAGAGAACGACAAAGAACTAGAGGTTTGTGACTGATCTCGTGTTTTGGATTACATACATCACATTAGCCGTTAATTCACGGCTAAATCGAGTATCACATATATTGAAACGAAAAACTTCGCTGTTAATTCACGGCTAAATCGAGTGTCATATATGTTCTAAACGCTGAAAGTAGCCGATAATTTTCGGATAAATCGAGTGTCATACATATTACAAACGAAAAAATTAGCCGAGAATGGCATTATATGAAAATCTTGCCTTCGCACTTGTTAAATTACTGTAGGCCTTGATAAGGCGTTGTATTTTCCGAAAACTGCTTCTGAAAGTGTCTTGAATATAAATCTATCAGAAAGTCCAAGATGCTGACACTGCCGACAAAGTGCCTTAAGGTTTGTATATTAATTCAACTTTCCAGCCCCAACAATAGATACGACTCTGATTATTTAGTTTTATCGACTGAGTTGGCCGCCATTAAGTGTTTTGAAAGTTGACATTTCGAGCGTTAACCAAACGTCAGAGCAAACCGGAAAAGGTAAACTTTAATTTGTTGGTCTGATCTTTGCTTTGAATTAATGAAGGGGACATAACCATTAGTGACAAATGTCGCCATTTTCACAACTGCATCGGAAAATTTAATGGAATCTCCAGGCGTTCGCTTACCAGAAACGCAAATTAAAATAAATGGTCATAGTCCTCTAGGGGAGAGTGGTTTGTAGACTGCTTTTTTCTTTAATCAGAGCGGCAGCCTTTGTTCTGAACTTTTGCCTGTGTGATCATTTTTTGCAGAGTTGTTTTGAAAATAACAGCGGCGCCTAGTCGAATTGTTATCACTGTGACATCTGAAAGTAGTTTTTGGACGGTCAAGTTAGGGCACTTGAAATACTTTTAAATTTAAACTTCATAAATAATTTTATATTTGGAGATGTCAGCTGTTTAGTTAATTGGAGATGGGGAAAAAAAAGAGAAGTGGACAAGATTAACGTGCAGCCCAAAGCTTAAAGTTAGATAATGGCGGAAATGAAGGACTGAGTCGCCTATGGGACTACGGCTTCTGTTTCAGAATAGTAGGGAGTTTAAGAGAACCACGATGNAGCAGTTGAACACCAACATAGCGCTAACTCGCCGAAAACGCTTCAAAATGGCCTGAGACGCTAGGAATCAACAAAGAAAACAACAAGGCAATAAGGTAAGCCCATTTTATTTCAAAACAAGACATTTTTTTCTCTCTTTTAAGGCAAACCGATAACATCCCATACAAACCTTTATAAATATAAAACGTTGCGCAACACGGTAAGAGTCACGTCCGCTTTTCTAGTAGTGAGCTTGGGCTGCCTGTGGCTCGAGACGTAGCATCTTTCCGTAAATAAACAAAGGAGCCCTTTGACCAACAGTACTGGTAATAATGCTGTTCTTTAAACTTCTTCGCCTCGAACAGGACTGTTTGCATTCGGGGTGACAAATGATCAAAAATTCTAACCGCGCTTAACGAGGCATCCTCAGGGAGTCCAACGGAAGCCGGGTCCAATTTGCATGCATCTTTACGATGATTCATGACGCTTTCTTTGGCTAAACGCCTGACAAATCTACAAACTATCGGCTTTGGCTTTCCATTGTTATTCCTGCTGGGAACACGATGGGCGGTGTCGATGTCATACATCGATAGATCAGCTCCCGTTTCTTTAAAAATGTTTAGGCAAAGCTTGCTTATCGAGGCTGCGGATTCATCTTGCAGCCTCTCAGGCACTCCCACAATTTTTACATTATACTGGAAACTATGTTCTTGAATTTCGTCAATAGCATTTCCAATAATATCTACCTTGGCTTTCAGCTCTTCGAGTTTGGTGCTTAGTCGCTGGAGTTCGTCTTTGGCCATGCCGCTAAAGAGATGGAAGTCGTCGTATTTCTTGCTCAAGAACTCTACACATTGGGCACCTTCTTCGCTGGGCAGAACTTCTTCGCTTCTCTCGCTATGTCGCCGTATCAACTCCTTCAATCTAGCTACCTCGTCCGACATTGACGATAGTTGCGCTTTAAGTATGTTATTCTCCTTCTTCAAAGCCGCAGCTGACCCAGGCATTGCACAAAGGTTAAACGAAAGGACACACAAAAAAAAAACAGAATACAAAAATAAGAAAAAGCAAAGAATATAAAGAAACTTAGCGGAGCTCAAAAATCACAACCCTCTTGGCCAACATCCGCTGACCAACTTGCTATTTGTTTTTTGTTTTTTGCATGCTATTTTGTTTTTTGCATGCCTCACTTGCTATTTGTTTTTTAGAAGTATTAAGAAATCAAAGTAATATTTGCGAAATGTTCCTTCAAAATTTCAAAATAACGGGCATTTTTTAATTACAAAATAGCCGCTAGGAGTTGCCGCGGCGACCACCTGCGAAAAATATTGTCAGAGTCAGACAAACGTTCCTGTTTCAATTTTGAGTTGCATCGAATACATCGCCAATAACAAGAAAATACCTTCAAATACCAGGAATATTTTTTTTTTACGATTAATTACTCTTGAGTCTATACTATTTACTAAAAGATAGTCAGTGCAACGAGCAACGACGGCGAAAGAGAAGTTTCATTGCATATAGTGACAAAGAAGGTTTGAGTTTAGGAAGAGTGATGCGTGCAAATTAAGCGCCTCGAATCATAAAGACCACAAATAGCTCACTCAGAATTTGGAAGATAGCGCGAAATATTATTATTCAAACTCTTTTACTCTTAAAAAGGAGGTAAGGAAATCAAGCTACACTTGGAGTGTACAATGTGTCTCGAGTTTCGAAAATGGCGCACTTTACCAGCCCCATTCTATTGTCGGTATGGAAGAGAAAAATTTCGCTTGAACAAGCACTGCCGATAGGACTTTGATCTCGCTCCCCCATAATGTTATTCCACTGTAGAAGGCCCAAATGTAACAACTGTCAACTTGAACACTTGAGCTAAATCAATAGATTTCTCTTTCCACCCCATACGATATTTTTGTCTCCCGAAATTTAAAATATGTTGGTTAGCAGCCTCTTTATATTTACAACTTACATCACTCATGCAGAACCACAGAACACAATTCGTTTGTCGAATTTGCTGCATGCAAGATCAAACGAACACAATTTAGAAGGAGAGAATCATCATTTTCTCCGTATTAATGTACACTATGAGGACATGCGAGAATTTGAAAGAAATGACTCACTAGACTACCGTCACTGAGGAGATCCGAACAGGGAAAACAATGTGAACAAGCTAATAAGACCCTAGTGAGGTCTAATCAGTGGAGGAAAGACACTTCGACAAGTAATGAAAGAAATCTTTGCATAGTTTACATCCTATAACAAACCACATACCCCGACACACAAACTGTTCCAAAACAGATCCCACATGCCTAATTACGACCCCAAAGTATTACCGAAGGTTCTTCTGCTTTCATTCGTGACAGACGGAAGAGTCATTGTTCAAAACGGAGCCCATCAATCGTAAGCCCCACCATACTTGTAGAACCAACTGTTCTTTTCAGAATAGAGATGATACTAAATAAAAATATTTCAGTCCAGTTACCACACACTGATAGATTTCGGCATATTTTAGAAATGATATTTAATTTAAAATCAAGTTTCATAATTGTGATCCAATACCGTTTACTTCTGGTTTTACTGCATCAGTTTTTCGTGGAAGGTCAAGTTTTGATTAACTATTCACACACAATAGTCAGTGCGCTAACTGAAGATTGGGACGCTAATAGTTTACCCACTCGCTTTGGCGTTGTTTTTGAAGCAATTTCAAATTATCTCCGACATTACTTTTGACAGTAGGTATTCTAAAGAAACGCTTAGCTTCATTACGATTTCAACGGTTAGAAAAGCCAAATACGGCTCAAAAGTTGACCATGATTGAAGTCTCTGCGTATATTTCTTTCGATCTATCATGCTAGGTTGTCCTTCAAATGGAAATTGTCGCGTGATCCTAAATCGCTAGCAACGTCCTGTGCAAGCGGTCTATAGTAATTATTTTAATGTTTTCATTGTTTCTTTGGTCACGTGAATTTTAGTTTTCGCAGTTCAGTCACGAAATTTTAAGCTTTGCTTTGCCTTTCGTTTCTCCTCCTTTTGTGGAGTTGATTTAAAGCTTTTTTCGAGCTTAACTGTTGCGGTGGCACAGTTGTTTTGCATCGAGTAAGTATAGGCTGAGCATTCCGCTTGTGAAGCGCTGAATAGGCCGATCGAGGATAATAAAGAACGACAAAGAACTAGAAGTTTGTGACTGATCTCGTGTTTTGGATTACATACATCACATTAGCCGTTCATTCACGGCTAAATCGAGTATCACATATATTGAAACCAAAAATTTTCGCCGTTAATTCACGGCTAAATCGAGTGTCATATATGTTCTAAACGCTAAAAGTAGCCCTTAATTTTCGGCTAAATCGAGTGTCATACATATTACAAACGCAAAAATTAGCCGAGAATGGCATTATATGGAAATCCTGCCTTCGCACTTGTTAAATTACTGCCGGCCTTGATAAAGCGTTGTATTTTCCGAAAACTGCTGCTGAAATTGTCTTGAATATACATCTATCAGAAAGTCCCTAATGCTGACACTGCCAACAAAAGTGCCGTAAGGTTTGTATATTAATTCAACTTTCCAGCCCCAACAATAGATACGACTCTGATTATTAATTTTAGTTTTATCGACTGAGTTGGCCGCCATTAAGTGTTTTGAAAGTTGACATTTCGAGCGTTAACCAAACGTCAGAGCAAACCGGAATAGGTAAACTCTAATTTGTTGGTCTGATCTTTGCTCTGAATTAATGAAGGGGACATAACCATCAGTGACAAATGTCGCCATTTTCACAACTGCATCGGAAAAATTGAATGGAATGTCCCGGCGTTCGCTTACCAGAAACGCAAATTAAAATAAATGGTCAGATTCCTCTGGGAGAGAGCGGTTTGTAGGCTGCTTTTTTCTTTAATCAGAGCGGCAGCCTTTGTTCTGAACTTTTGCCTGTGTGATCACTTTTTGCAGACTTGAATTAAAAATAACAGCGGCGCCTAGTCGAATTGTTATCACTGTGACATGTGAAAGCAGTTTTTGGACGGTCAAGTTAGGGCACTTGAAATAATTTTAAATTTAAACTTCATATATAATTTTATATTTGGAGATGTCACCTGTTTAGTTAATTGGAGAAGGGGAAGAAAAGAGAAGTGGGCAAGAATAACGTGCAGCCCAGAGCTTCAATTTGGACAATGGCGAAAATGAAGGACTGAGTCGCCTATGGGACTACGGCTTCTGTTTCAGAATAGTGGGGAATTTAAGAAAACCACGATGGCCACGGCAAAGTCAACGTCACTAAACATAAGCTTAAATGAGCAGAACAATGGCTTTGCACGTTCTTTGTAAATCTCTGTAAATTTCTTTGCTACCTCTGCAAAGCAACAGCGGGAAATGATCAAAATTTGTGTTGTCTGGAGAACGTGAACGACAACGGCTAATTTCATTTACAATTTTATTCTAATTTAACGCTGTGTTCGATTTTTAGCTTTGAGATAGTTTTGATAGAGACAAACTTAATGACGATAGAGTATCGCACGATTCGTAGGTAAATTATGAATTAATTTTTTAATCGACGTTGTCCACGGCTTCGCCGTCTTCGTTTTTTAAACTCTCTAGTCTGGGGTTACACGGAAACCTAGCAAGAACTCGACTTCTTCTACCAGTTTATTGAATGCCATAAACTCCGGAGCCTAACCCAGTTTGCTTCTGTGCTAAACGGCAGAAACTTCTGCCCCTATGACAGTGGAGCCTCCCACTTTTCATGAAATGTCGTTCCTTTTACACCTCGCAGCCCATTTATGCGTTGGTTTTTCACAAACAAGGAGCGTATCATAAACATCATGATCAAGTAATCGCTTATATTTTTTTCATTCTTATCCAGACCTCCCCTGGCCCTGACCCACTGCTGATTAGAAAAGTGTGTGCTCTCAAGTAACAAGACAATACAGCTTCCTTCAACAAGCTACTGTAGAGAGGAAGACGTCGCTCTCGCATCACTGATGTCTTTATCCGTGTCACTTTTGATATCAGTGCTGGATTTAGGCGCAGTGTTTTTTAACGGACGACTGTTACTGAGCTGCTTCATAAGAAACACAAAGTACAAGTTTGTTCAAAAGTGCTGGATGTTGGCAAGTCTTCAGGCTGCTAGTCAAGTTGCAATTCTTGTTGCAGATGGCATAGAATGGTGGAATGGCATCCAGATTCAACCTACCGAGTCCTGTAATGTCTTCAGAGTTCTCTCCCTTTCAATGTTGTTTTTCCAAATTTGTATCCTGACGGCAATCGTAACAGTTTGTTATGAGCATTTGGCAGGACATAAAGAACGAAAATCATTTTCTTGCCTTTCGATGTACACAGTGCTTCTTCTGGGATTTCTCGGTTCCGCAATTATCTTTTGGCACTGTTGCTTCACGCGAACGCCTACTTCTCAAGCCGTCCTTAAAGTTGCACTGATTTTGACCTCGTCTTTTGTCGTCTATCTGCTTTCCGCAGCCTTGGCTAAAAGTGATGCTGAATACAACAAAGAAATCACCTCACTCAAATCAAACGCCTCAATGAATTCGCGCCTTTTGTCATGGTCTTGGAAAGCTTGGGAAGAAAACAAGGAGTCCTTGTTCTTAACAGTTTTGTTTACAGCATGTTCGACGCTGATTTTCATTGGAGCGGCCCATGCTAATCCCGAATCAGCTCTGTGGGGTCGCGATTTGAAAGGAGAGATGTTGTTCAATGGAATTGTTTATCACCTAATTCCTAAATTTTGTGTGGGAACGGGTTTACCAGTAACAGTGTATTATTTTATTAATTTGAGCTATTCCGGAAAGAAAGAAAGAGACAGTATAATTGAAACAATTTGAAAGATAACTTTGCCATTAACTATGGAGACTGAGGTGGAACTTCGCTTATAAGAAATCGGTTTATTCGATGATCCCTTTCTTATTTGCAACTCTTTGAGTCACAGTACATAGCAAAATTATTTGTTATTCCTCTTTCTCGAAA